CACATGCCTCATGAGAGCCTGTGATGGGTTGGAGCACTATCCTTCACTGTGAGACACAGTTATAATATGGGCCTTCCCCTCACTTGTGAAGTAGGCACATTTGGAGAACCTGCTGGAGAACTTCAGGGTGCATACAAGATTGAGGACCCATTCAGTAAACTACTAGCTCCGAAAAGGTGCTCTGATAGGGTGAGATTTCCAAGGAATATTCCAGATCACCTTTTGAGCCTTTTCACTCCTCGTGTCCAGCTTCTGTTCAGCTGAGGATCAGCTGGAAATGATGGAAATGAGCTCTGGAACCTACTCTCTACTTACTGGTCCACCAACTCCTTGTGTATCTCACTTTACTAGTTGAGGGTCACTGGCAGTCCAGGGAGGATTAGAAATCTAGTTAAAGGAGATCTGCCACAGAATAGAGATTGAGTCTCACAAGTCACATTGTCAAAACTTTACAGCTGCAGGATAGACAAATGGGTTTGGAGAACAAAACAGATTCTACTAAGAATGACATTTCAAATCAGGGAAGAATAGACTGCTCAAGCACATGGTATGGGAGTGGCTAATGAGCCATTTGGATAAAAATAAAGTAGCTCCATGTCACGACACACTAGCAATAAAAACAGATAAATGAACTGCCCTATGCATGCTACAAGAGAAAAATCTTCCTTAGTCTTATATCTAGCTGTGAACCCTGCAAGCTACAACTGGCCTGGCAAGATATGTCCACAGGGCAATAGTGACATGAATGTTAAAGGACTAACCAAACAATTTCCAATTTTTAAAAAAGATATATTTATTTATTACGTACATAGTCTGTATCCCTGCAGACCAGATGAAGGCACCAGATCTCATGACAGTTGGTTGTGAGCCATCATGTGGGTACTAGGAAATAAACTCAGGACCTCTGGAAGAGCAGCTAGTGCTCTTAGTGGCTGAGCCACCTCTCCAGCCCCCATTTTCCAACTTTTAAAACAATCTTCTTCATTTGTTTATTTATTGATTGATAGGTATGCATGTTTAATTTGCATCTATGTATTTGTACCGTGTGCATCCCTGGTGCCTGTGGATGCCAAAAGAGGGTATCAGATCTCCTGAAACTGGAGCCATGTGGGGTTCTCTGCGAGAAGCAGCAATGCTCTTAACTGAGCCATTTCTCCAGTCCCCTTCCACCCCATAAACTGCTTTCTGATTGGACTTAGCTCTGCAAGATAGAACACATGCCAGGTACCATTAACTGGGCTAAAAACTTGCAGCTAACTAGGCCATAGGCCATAGAGGAGAACCTAGTATTCTTCTGTTCAATAGACAAGCTTTTATCTTTATATTCATAGATCAGTGCATCTCTCAACATCCATCAAAGAAGCTTCTTTTTGAAGCAGGTGGTGATTAATGCACCAACCAACAAATGGTCAACAGGCAGAGAATAAGAGATTGTGGAATGCTCAGCTCTCAACAGGGCATTATATCACATCCCCTCCCTACAAGGCTCAGAGATCATTGTGGAAGAAAGACTAAGAGTCAGAGGGAGTGAACCATTGTAGTGAAACAGTATTTGCCATTGGATAGGGCCATTGCACTCATGAACTTACAGGGGCTGGGACTGCATGCACAAGACCTGCATAAGATCAAGCTAACCAAAACCTTAGTATGGATGAGGGAGGGGCTCATGAAGTGCCACTTCTAGCTGTGTTGCTATTGATAACTGGTGGCTACACACATAGAGTCACTTTTCTAGGGTTGCAGGCCCAGAGAAGCTACCCATGTTCCAGTAGATGGTTCCAAACCCACACACATATAGGTAGCACTGAATGGATTCAGTGGGTATAAAATTGAAGAGAAAGAGAGAGGTGTGGGGGGAGAGAGTACGTGTACACAAAGTTGGGAGGGAAAAAAGTTATTTGGACCTGGGAAGGTTCTGGAGGGGAGAGAATAGGGGGTAGATTGAAACCAAATACACTATATCCATGTATAAATATTAAATAAAACATTTTAAAATCCACAAAACTATAAAACCTTCCGAAAAGAACATAGGGAGCCTGTATAATCTTGGGAGGACACTATTCCCAAGGATAGGCTCAGGAGCCATAAAATAAAAGCGAAAGATTTGCCCATATTAAGACAGGAACCTTCTGTGATAAAAACAAAAATAAAGTCCTAAAGAAAGCTGATGGTGGAGATTGAGGAAGACACATGATGTTGATCTCTGGCCTCCACATGTAGATATGTGGGCATGCACTCCTGAACATGTATGTATTCACCATACATACCTACACACACACACACACACACACACACACACACCAGTTAATAATAAAAAGATAAGGTCCTTTTGTTGTTGTTGTTTATTAGCTCATTACTTCTGATTGCTGCTGAATGGTTTTCATTTCATGAACCATTACCCTACTAAGGGCCTCTTGACTGCTTCTAATTTTTAGCAGTCATGAATATTTCTTTATAGGTTTTTCAATGATTATATTTTTCAAATGAGTTGGGCAAATATATGGTAGCATGTTTGCTGCACTGTAAAATTATGTTTAACTTCCCACTCCTTTTTAGGTCTTCCTTTCTTCCTTCCTCTTTTTTTCTCTCTGTCTCTCTCTGTCTCTGTCTCTGTCTCTCTCTTTACAAGGTCTTCACTGACCGTGGATTTGGCTAGAATGGATGCCATCATGTCCAGGCATCCTCCTCTGTCTTTAGAGCACTGGGCTTATTAACACACACTGTCACACAAGGCTTTTTACATGGATGCTCTGGATAAGAATGCAGATTCTCATGTTTGTACAGTAACTGAGCCACCTCTCCAACTTCCATTAGGAAGAAAACGCTTTAGGAAGAAATGGCACAGTTACCCACATACTTACTACACTACCTGTGTATTCTTGTTAATCCTCTGATGCTGAACATAGGGCAAACTTTTTTTTTAAGATTTATTTATTATGCATACAATCATAAAATGTTTGTCTATATGTATGCCTGCAGGCCAGAAGAGGGCACCATATCTTATTACAGATGGTTGTGAACCACCCCGTGGTTGCTGAGAATTGAACTCAGAACCTCTGGAAGACCAGCTAGGAGTGTTCTTAACCACCATTTTTATTTTTATTTTTTTCTAGACAGGATTATATAGTGCCCAAGTTGGCCTTGTAGATGAGTAAGTAAACCTTTAATTTCAGGTTGTCTCCATCTTCCTAGCCCTTGGTTTACAGGCATGGGTCACTACACACAATTTATATAGTGCTCAGGGACTCCTGCACATTAGCCACACGCTCTACCAATTTAGCTACAATGAAAAAAAAAAAAAAGTAATGAAAGGACATGACTGCTCCGAGGTGTGGTGGAGGAGAAGGTTTATTGTAGATATAAAGGGAGAGCACAGCCAGAGGCAGGGACATCTGGGAGAGTCCAGAGCGGATGTAGTCAGATTTTTCTTTGGGCTGCCAGCTCACAAATAATGACACCGAGATTTATTATTAATTATAAAACCTTGGCCTTAGCTTAGGCTTGTCCTACTAGTTTTTTTTTTTTTAAAGATTTATTTATTGTGTTTACAATGCTCTGCTTCCATGTCTGCTTCAACACCAGAAGAGGGCACCAGACCCGATTACAGATGGCTGTGAGCCACCATGTGGTTGCTGGGAATTGAACTCAGGACCTTTGGAAGAGTAACCAGTGCTCTTAACCTCTGAGCCATCTCTCCAGCCCAGTCCTACTAGTTCTTATAACTTAAATTAACCTGCCTTTATTAATCTACATTTTACCATGTGGCCTTTTACTTTCCTTTCATTCTATATGTTTAACTCCCTGTTAGCATCTCACCTGCACTTCAATCATCTCCTCCTACTTCTGTCTCTGCTTGGAAGTCCCACCTATGCCTCCTGCCTAGCTATTGGCCACTCAGCTCTTTATTAAATCAATCACAACAATATATCTTCCTACAGTGTATACGTATCCCACAACAAGTGGACAAGTGGACATGACCGGTAGACTGAACAGGGCCATGTGAGGAGAGGAGGGAGGGGACAGGAGCCATAGTAACTTGGAGTCAATAGGCTAGGAGACTAAGAGGCCAAAAGGGCAAAAATGACCTTGTAACCAAAATGCCTGGGTTATACAGGAATCAGAGAAGCAGGAGGAAGGGAAAGCCCAGCCCTTATGGTAGGAGGCACGGTATGGTGCCAGGAGGACCCTGTAACAGGTAGGGACTGGGGGAGCCTCGTGGCCAGAGTCTGCTTTGATATGTTAATAGACACTTTAGCCATTTGTCTGGCGTTTGAGATCAAACATGTGTCCCTAGTCTTTCTTTCTTTATTTGATTGATTGAGACAGGGTTTTACCTGGTTGGCCTAGAATTTGGATGCTGGGATTACAGGCATGAACCACCACATCTGTGCAATTTTACACAAATGTTTTCTTTAAATGTCTATATTCGGAGCTTCAGAATGATCTTTGAACCAGCTTTATACTGACTTATACTTTGACAAGCACTTATTGTGAATGACGTGTATACACACACATACACATGCTGATACAGACATATACATTTTACAAAACCATACTCTTTTTTTCTTCTTTGAGCTTCTCACACTTTTCTTATCCTTTCAAGTCACCTTGAATTTCTTCTGGTGCAACCTTCTGCATATCTTTCATAGTTTTGTTATTAATATAAATTCTATACAACCCTATAATATTTCTTTCCTTTTCTCTTGTTCAAAAACAAAACGTGGTTGCCTTGGCTTTAAGAAGGTACTCCAGACACCTAGGCAGGAATTCTATGTATAAAGAAGAAAGGCTCCCAGACCTCGTGACATTTCCCGTGCACACGTCATGTTGCCGTCATCCAATGCTTCCGCCCTCTTCAAACATGGCTGGCAAGTGCTCTCCGCACCGCGACTATGGCTGTTCTCGCGTGTAGTACCCATACTGAGTACCTAACAGTCTCCTTTAGGCAGATATCGCGGCGGAGGAGACCCAGCAGAACAGCAAGGAAGACAACAGGTTACCGCCAGCAGTAACAAGCGCGGACCGGAAGTTCCGCGTCCTCGTTGTCCGGGGGAGCCGTTAGGCACGCACGCCGGAAGTGGCCAATTGGCCAGTGTGAGGCGGTGCCCACTGTGTTCGCGTCCCTCGGGCAGTGGAGCCATGGAGCCCGGGGCTGCTGAGCTGTATGACCAGGCCCTGCTGGGCATCCTGCAGCACGTGGGCAATGTCCAGGACTTTCTGCGCGTGCTCTTCGGCTTTCTGTATCGCAAGACCGACTTCTACCGTCTGCTGCGCCACCCTTCGGACCGCATGGGCTTTCCGCCCGGGGCCGCGCAGGCCCTAGTGTTGCAGGTGAGGTGGGGAGCGAAGGGCCATTGGGGTCCTGCAGGACCTTATTCCAGTTCCACTTTCTAGCACCAGATCTGCCCCTGGTTCTGCCCTACGCCTCTGAACAGCGCCACTCCTCATCCCAGCCCTTCAGATTTTGCGGTTCTCGCTGAGGTGCCAAAGGCGATTTTGTTTAAATGGTCAGACATATGAAGCGCGAGTTGGTTGTCAGCGGTGCGCGCTGCTTTGGGAACAGCCTGGGTATATGCGGCACATTCTTAGGTCTTAGAAGCTATCTGCCAGCCTGCCTTTGAGGGCCTCTGAGCATCCTGTGGGAGTCCCAAGAATGGTATAGGGGTTTTTGCTAGGCTGTATTAAAACCGTGCAGGCGGGAGGGAAGGACTTTCCCAGAGGCAGAAACTTGAATATTTCAGAACTCCCGGGCTTAGGAGGTGGCAAGAATGACCGGTATGTATTGATTGGTGGGTGTGGCCGCTTGCCAGTGACCTACTAAGTCTAGTATAATCGAAATGATTATAAAATTTACATTTAAATTTAAATATGTACGCCCCAGGTTAAATTTATTGTTTTTAAAGCGTTGGTAATTACCGACTGAAGCTGTCTGGACACCTTTTAAAAGTTGTTTTGTTTTGAGACAGGGTTTTGTTATGTAGTGCGGATTGGCTTGGAACTTGCCAGGTAGACCAAGATGTCTTCGAACTTAAGGTCCTCTTTCCTCTGACTCTCCAGCGCTGGGATTATTGACATTGTTGAGTGTAATAATAAGCAAACGTTTAGCCGGGCAGGGCGGTGCACGCCTTTAGTTCCAGCATTCAGGAGGACAGGTGGATTTCTGTGAGTTTTATAAATGCCAGCCTGGTGTACAAAGCAAGTTCCAGGACAGTCTCCAAAGCTACACAGAGAGAACCCTGTCTGGAAAAACAAAACAAACAAACAAAAATTAATGAATGTATTTAACACTCAGCTGTAGTATAGGGTGTGATGTGGGTATTTAAATAATGGTCTGTCTACTCATGACAGGGTTCAGAAAATAAAGCACAGAAGGTAATAGAGAACTCTGCTAGATCTCTGTGTGGTAGAGCTGTTTGGAAGGAAGTAATAGAGATGATAGTTATGGAACTGAGGAAGTATTGTAGAAAAGGTTAGATTTTTTTTTTTTTTTTTTTGGGATGAGATTAAAGTATTGCAGGAGTATGCTTTGGCACACCATTCATTAATCCCAGCACTTGAGAAACAGAGACAGGTGGATTTCTGTGAGTTCAAGGTCAGCCTGGACTACAAAGTGAGTTCCAGGACAGCCAGGGCTATACAGAGAAACCCTGTCTTGAAAGAACAAAACAAGCAAACAAAAAAAGTATTGAAGGGAGCATCAAGCTTGCCGGTTAGAATCTGATTCTGTAGTGCCTGTAAAGTGCTTCCTGCTACCGTCTGAAGTCTTACTTCAGTTTGTGGGCTGATCAGCTGCCACTTTCCTTAATTTCTCAGTGGAAGAAACCAAAGCTTAGGGCGCTCTAATAACCATCAGCACAATGGTGAGGTGGTAGGTGGGATGGTCTGACAATGAGGCTCTGTTTCAGAATGGAAACTGATGAGTTACTGGTGTAACAAGCCTCATCAGTGGCCCAAGAGTCATTTGAGTAATTGGAGAGTGTGAGAGATGGCTGAAATGGAACCTTACGTTACTTCATACTGAAGTCTTGCTACTTGATCTTCACAGCCTCTCTGAGTTTGACTTGCCAGATCAACAAGGTTGATCAACACGGAGCTGGTGTTTGACTTTCTGGTGTAGGACATCTTATTTTAGCTTTAATACAATTTGAGGGGTTGGCTCTTGTTTCTCTGATGAACTGACAGAGGTAGTGTATGTATTTACCCTGTAACTATAAAACAGGTACTTCTTAAAGACAGCTTACAATGTGGTGACTATTCTATTGGAGGTAGGGAGAAGAGGAAGGGGAAGGGATAGACTAAAGATTCCAAGATTCCAAATTTGGGTGACTGGAACAGTGACATTCATTAATTGCACTGTCACTTGGATTGGGAGACGGGGGATAGTTTTTTGGTTTTAGGCAAGTTGAATTTGAGATTGCAGACAAATTCTGACTTATAAGCTGTTGGAATTGAGGAACTGGATCTTGGATAGAGAGGGGCTGGTGAGGTCTGATAGAGAAGAGCCCAAAGTAGAGGATAGCTGAGGAGCAGTCACAGTGAAGGACACTGAGTTTCACTGAAGCTCAGGGAACAGTCTTTTTTATTTGTTTGTTTTGTTTTGTTTTTTGAGACAGGGTTTCTCTGTGTAGCCCTGGCTGTCCTGGAACTTTCTCTGTAGACCAATCTAGCCTCAAATTCACAGAGGTCTATCTGCCTCTGCATCCCGAGTGCAGGGACTGAAAGGCATGTGCCACCACTGCCCACCTACAACAGTCTTAAACACAGCTTTAAGAGTTTTTGCTTGTCTTTACCCCCTTTCCCTACATCTAGGTTGTTCTCAAACATTAGCCTTGATCAAGAGACTTTTTCTTTTCAGTTTCTTTCAAACAAATATTTATTGTTCACTGCTTTGGATCCTGGGAAACAGACTTTTAAACTGATGTGAGTTTCTGGGTTTTTTTTTTTAAAATTTAAGTTTTTTGAGAAAGGGTCTTACCATGTACCCTTGACTGGCCTGGAATCCACTATATAGACCAGACTGGCCTCAGACTCAAAGAGTGTGGGATTAAAGGGGTGCACCACCATGCCCAGCCAACCAAGAAACTTTTAAAAAGTACATATTCTTAGCCAGGTATGGTGGCACATGCCTTTAATACCAGCACTTGGGAGGTAGAGGTAGGTAGATTTCTGTGAGTTCAAGGCCAGCCTTGTCTATGGAGTGAGTTCCAGGACAGCCAGGGCTAGTACACAGAGAAACCCTATCAAACTGTTTTTAAAAAATGCATATTCTTGGATATTTTCATTGAGTAGATCATAGTGAATCTGGTTTTTTTTTTTTTTTCCTAAATTTATTTTTGTAACTTACAGAAAGTCTTTGGCAAGAGGCGCTTGTAAGGTGGGTCCATTATTGATAAGGGAGTGATATTAATTATCAGTCAGGTGAGTCACATAGTACCCACACAGCATTATCTCATTTTTACTCATCTTTTTGTTCCTGATTCAGATCCTAAGATTCCTTCCTGTGACTTCCTCTCTCCCAACTGTGATACCCAGGGTCTCTGTGAACATAGACAGAGAAAGTTTGGTTGTGTTTTTGTGTAACTTGAGAGTACCCTGCTGGTATTTTGGGGAGTGGACTGTTTTGTATGTGCTGTTTTTTGTTTTTGTTTTATTTTGGTCAGCTTAATAGAAACCAAGGCATCTAGAAGGTGGGAATTTCAATGGAGGAAGTCTGCGGGGCGTTTCCTTGATTAATGATTGATGTGGGAGGCCCAGCTCAGTTTGGGCAGTGTCATCCCTGGGCAGGAGGTTGTGGACTGTTTAAACAAGCAGGCTGAGCAAGTCAGTAGGTGTCATTACTGTGCTCTCTGCTTTAGTCTCTGTTTTGAGTTCCTGCTTTGACTTCGCCTGATGATGGACTGGAACCTCTAAACCAAGTAAACCCTTTCTTCCCCACATTGCTTTTCTTGATCATGATGTTTTTTACGACAACAATAGAAAGCAAACAGTGCTGTTGGTGTTATTTATTTATTTTATAGACAGGGTTTCTCTATGTAGCCCTGGCTGTGGCTGTCCTGGAACTAGCTCTGTAAACCAGGCTGACCTCAAATTCAACAGAGATCCATCCGCCTGCCTCTACCTCTGGAGGGCTAGAATTAAAGGCATGTACCACTACCTCCCAGCTTGCTTCTTCTGAGGTCTTATAGCAGGAATGAAATTTGTGAAAATCTTGTTCTGTCCCATTATATATTAGAAAAATATTAAGAAAAAAGTAGTTTTGGCCAGCTATTGGTGACACACACCTTTAATCCCAGCACTGGGGAGGCAGAGGCAGGCAGATCTCTGAGTTCAAGGTCAGCATGGTCTACAGAGTGAGTTCCAGAACAGGCTCCAAAGCTACACAGAGAAATCCTGTCTCGAAAAACAAACAAAAAAGAAAAAGAAAAAAAAATTTTGTTTGACATGTCAGCCAGCACAGTTGATAACTCCTGGAACCCAGTGTAAGAGTCAGTGCTTAGTGGAAGTCTTTGTAAGGAGAATCAGGAAGGCACCTGTATCTTATTCCTCTTTTAACTTACTGGAAAAGCTTACCGAGTCCTCTGAGGTAGCTTATTGAAGGTCATGGATACCTATTCTAGGCTAGGACTCTAACTTGACCAAGGTAAGGGCTGTGAACATATGGCAGCTGGAGCTCTGGAGTGGCTTGAGAACTGGATGGAGCAGAGGGCAGATGGAAGAGGGTCAGCATGCAGAGTTGAAAAGGCCTCAGAAGGATGAGGACTCTCAGGCCTTGGTTTGGAGCAGCCTGTGGTAGCAGTCTGTGGTTAAGGGAGACACTCCTACGTGCCCACTTTTGTAGTTAAGTAAGTTGTAGATCTGGGTTGTTAGAGATAGTGGTTTTGAGTACAGAGGACTCAGATACTTGTTAGGATGGTCACTGGAGAGAAGGTAGTCAAACCAGGTTACCTGTGCAGTAGAAATGATTTGTTTATAGGTGTTTTCTCTTTTTGGAGACAGGATCTGACTGTATACCCAGGATCTGACTGTATACTCATGGCTGGGCTGGCACTCCTTATTTATACCAGGCTGGCCTGGAACTCTGCTGGGTGCTGGAATTAAGGACATGTGCTATCATGCCTGGCCTTTGTCTCCAGGTTTAACCTTTTAGGATTTTATTTTATTTCTGGTTATAGTGCCTTTTTCTGTTTGTTATGTCCTGTATAATTTTTTTACTGTCTCCTTTCATTGACAGACCAAGTTACCTAACCTGTCTGAGCCCAATTTTTCCTCATTTTAGGATGTTGGGGGTCTTTTTCACAGGTTTTTTTTTTTTTTTTTTTTTTTTTGGTGAGAGTTTTGAGACTGTAGAAGCACTATAGTTTGTACATTAGTACCTGTCTTCAGTTTTGTCTTCTAAGCAGTGTCAGACACTGCTAGTGGATGCTTATAGTGGCTTAGCCCTTTGGAACTGGTCCTTCCCACCCTGTCCCAGGTCATTCCTACAGCCTTTTCCACCTCTGCCTCATGCAGGGCTTCTCCCTTTTTCTTGGTGATCCTTACTCCTTGGAGCTGTGGCGGTTTTTCCAGTGGCCCCATGGGAGACATACTCCTTTCTGGACCAGCTGAGAACCTGATTCTTTCCTTCTATAAAAGGCAATACTTCTTACTTCAGAAGTATTCCATCCCACCACAGCTTGTGACAGCATCAGGGTTCCATAATGCCCTCTTATATAGGAGTTCTGTCCATGTGAATCTGTACTTGCTCATGACTAAGCAAGCATTCTTACTTGTTTACTTACAGACCTACATCCCCTGCCCTTTAGGTGTCATTGTTTAATGGTCCCAGCACCTTCATGGATGTGACTATGTCCCAGAAAAGGTTCAAGGATGCGTCTACATTTCAAGGAGGACTGTTAGAAAATCCTGTTAGAAGTCTCAGGTGATGGGAGTGAGTTTACATTCCTTGTACACTGTAGACCCAGAGAGGGTATTTATGGAATCAGGTACTCTCTCCTATATCCCCTCAGCTGTCATTTTGGAAAGGGTAGCAGTAGTCTGGTAAGACTGAGTGCATTTTGTAGGTTGAAGTTCAGTTACATTTTCTTTTTTCTTCTTTTTTTTTTTTTTTTTTGAGACAGGGTTTCTGTCTAAGAGCCCTGGTTGTCCTAGAATTCACTCTGTAGACCAGGCTGGCATCTAACTGGCTCTGCCTCCTGAGTGCTGGGACTAAAGCCATGCACCACTACTGCTGGCTTTTTTTTTTTTTTTTTTTTTTCACTTTTTAAGCCTGAACTGCTGGTACCTTCATGAATCCACAGTATCAGGATAGTGTGTTCTTCACATTGCTGGCAAGGTTGATAAAAGTAATGACAACTAAAGACGCTTAGTGTTTCATCCTCAGGTTTGCAATTTTGTTAAATTTGGAACCTTCTAGAGAAGGAGCATTTCCTACTAGCTTTTGGTGAAGTTATAGAACATTTCCATTTTGCTTTGGTTTACTGCTGTCTAATTCTGTACTTAGTAAATTTTGTTATATTTCTATTTGATATATGGGGGCAGGTGAACTGATTGTTGGATTGATGCTTCATATTTAGGTGTTTAAAACATTTGATCACATGGCTCGCCAGGATGATGAGAAAAGGAAGAAGGAACTTGAAGAGAAAATCAGAAAAAAGGAAGAAGAGGCCAAGGCTGTGGCAGCTGCTGCAGCCGAGAAGGAAGCCGTGCCAGTCCCAGTGCAGGAGGTAGAGATTGATGCTACTGCAGAATTGAGCGGGCCTCGGGAAGTAGAAAAGTTGGAGTCCCCAGGCCCACAGGGTCCTGAGCACAAGGTGGCCCATGGCTTGGAGGAGGCAGAAGCTCCAGGAACTGTTAGCAGTGCTGCTGAAGGCCCTAAGGAACCCCCTGTGCTCCCCAGGTAGGAGCGGCTCCTCTGCAGTGTCCTCCTATCTCTGCCTTGATAAGTTTGCCTATGATTGGTTTTTGCTTCGTGTGGATTGTAAGATAAAGTTTGGTTGGGCGGTGGTTATATAATAGAAATTTACTTTCTAATAGTTCTAGAGGCGAGAAACCCAAGATTAAAGTATTGTCTGGGTTGTTTGTTCTAAGGCCTCTGTCAGTGGCTTGCAGACGGCCATCTTCTTGTGTCTTCATATGTTTTCATGTTCTTGCCTGGCTCTTAATCTGCTGTTCTCAAGCTTTATCTGACATACAGTATCAGACTGCCTTCCATCCATGGATTCAAGGACCTCAAGTTGGCAGACACCTAAGATGTGATTTTAATAGGCTCTGGATCAGTCCTGGAGCAAACATTGACTTCTTTAGAAAATTTCTGGGAAAGAGTGTCTTTCTGTCACGGAACTTGTAAATTAGCACCTGATTTACGGAGCTGTGGACACTATATATATGAGTCTCTGGTGCTGCTGGCTCCTCCTCAGCTGCCTAGTCATTGCACTACAGTGCCAGCTTCCAGCTCCAGGCTCAATGCTACTTCTTTACCTCAGCATTTGTTTAGCTTTCTCTTTTTGCAACTTGCACAGCAGTGCTTTAGATGCATATTTGGGTGCCCATTTAGCTTCAGTCTTCTTACTTTTCCACTCTTTGAAACAAATTAATGATATGTTCACAGTCATGTAGCCAGTTGAGGGCCAGAGGCAGAATTGGAGAACTTGTTGTCTATCAAAGCCCTTATTGTATCTGTGTGTAGGCTGAGCCACGGCATCTTGATTTTGGTTTGGATCAGTATGGAGCATTCAGCCTAGGGCCTCACATGTGCTAGGCAGATCCTTCACTACTCTGCTGAATGGATGATTCCTCCAACCCCCCCCACCAAAGGACTGATATATATCTGAAGAACAGTTTAATATAGGGCCTCAGCTCACAACCTGCCCCTGCTCCTTCCTAAACATTATATCACTTCTCCTGATCTATTGTTATTTATTTTTAATTTTATGTGTATAGGTGCTTTGTCTGCATGTATGCCTGCGTGCCACATGCAGGTCAATGTTTGTGTAAGCTGGACAAGGGTGTTAGTTACATTTGGGAACTGCCCTGTGATTTCTGGGAATTGAACTCAGGTCCTCTGGAATAGCAGCCATTGCTCTTAACTACCAAACCATCTCTCTAGCTCACTTCTCTATGAGGTTCTTTAAGCCTATCTTGTGGAGCTTTTGTGAATTTTAATTGAGCTAAGAGTCAGGTAGCAAATCAGTGACAGAGCTTGAGTATAAAGCATTCATTTGCATCAAGCTGCATGGTGTGCTTCTCATGTTCTAGGAGTTGAGTGCACCTAGACCTGCCCGGTGGAAAGAGTGGGCCCTCCTTGTGAAGCTTGTGCAGTGTCTGCTGGTCAGCTGTCATCCTGCTGCCTTGTCTCTTTCCTAGATAAATGTACTTTTTCCTTTCTTGACAGGTCTGTTTCTTTCATCTCCAGCTTCTGTTCTGTTCTTTCTACTCCTTGTATTCTCTAACCTGTTTTTTGGAGTGTGAGTATAGTTTCCATTTAGTGAAGCAAAGTAAACAACTTGAAATGGCTTATTATTGAGTAGGTAAAAATCAGTCTTGTAAAGATAGAGTATGGCAAGGCCCATAGAGTCTAGCTAAATAAGGAGTTTAGAGAAAAATGTTGGATGTGTGAACAAGGTGATGGAGAAGGAAGTTGGTATTGAATATGGAGATATTTCCTTTTAGCTTGAAGAACATTTTTTTTTTAACTAAAAGTGTTTTGTTTGTTTATTTTTGTTGTTTGTTTTTTCTGTAGCCTAGGCTGACCTCAAGTTTTTCATGTAGTCCAGGCTGGCTTTACATTCACAGTCTTTCTGCTCCAGGTTTCTGAGTTCTGGGTTTGCAGTCATACGCTACCATAGGAAGCCCTTAAGAATTCTTCCCTCCACACTCTGTAGAGATGGCCTCACCCCTCACCATGGGTGTGAGAGAGCTGGCGCTGGTGGCATGGGCCTAGGAGAGCTGCCTCTGGCCCTCCCCTGAGGGAGGTAGTCCCAGTGGCCTGGACTGACCAAATCAGCTACCACCCAGACCCACATCCAGGGCTTTGAGTTTTCCTACCCCACCATCTACCCCATCTATGACCTGCTGGGAGCTGGAGAGATGGCTCAGGGGTTAAGAACACTGGCAGTTCTTCTAGAGGTTCTGAGTTCAATTCCTAGCACCCACATGGTGGTCACAACTATCTGTAAGAGGATCAGATACCCTCTCCTGTCTTGCAGGAACCCATGCAAGTAGAGGACTCATATACATAAATAAATAAATCTTAAAAAAAAGTTAAAGTACTGGTCCTGTGGAATTCTAATATTCTAATCGAAGGATCTCCATGACTTGGGGCAATAGCAGGGTATCTGAGAGGAATTAAAAAAAAGTTAAAGTACTGGTCCTGTGGAATTCTAATATTCTAATCGAAGGATCTCCATGACTTGGGGCAATAGCAGGGTATCTGAGAGGAATTTCTGTGAGGGTCCAGTGTTGATTGTGTATCAGAACCCAGAGACTTTGACCAGACCAACAATGCACTACAAAAGCATTTGCAAGTAAAGTTGAGTGGACAAAAGGGTGTATTGTGCTATACACCACAGCTCCCAGTGCCACTAAGATGAATGAAGAGGTGTTGGAGAGGCAGGAAAGATGGAGGGGCAAAGTAGTCTTTCCTTTATTTATTTTTGTGGTTTTTCGAGACAGGGTTTCTCTGTGGCTTTTAGAGCCTGTCCTGGAACTTGCTCTGTAGACCAGGCTGATCTCAAACTCACAGAGATCCACCTGCCTCTGCCTCTTGAGTGTTGGGATTAAAGGTGTGCAACTGCCTGGCTTAATTAATGTTTTTTAAATTTTCTTTTTGGGGAGATGTTATTGGGGGTAGGGGTGGATATGGAGGGACTAGGAAATGAGTGGGATTATGGTGCATAATGTGAAATTCCCAAAGAATAAAAAAAAATTATGTTCAAGGAAAAAGATAACAGTTTTAAAAAAAGAGCTTTTTTTTTTTTTTTTTTTATACAACTCTTTTTTTTTATTTTATGTGTGTTGGCTTTTGCCTGTATATGTATCAGTGTGAGGCTGTTGGATCTCTTGGAACTGGAGGTATAAACAGTTGTGAGCTTCCATGTGGGTGCTGGGAATTGAATGGAGTCCTCTGACAGAGCAGCCAGTGCTCGTAATTGCTGAGCCATCTCTCCAGCTCCTCTTAAGAACTTTTTTATTTCTGGTAGTGCAACTCTATTGGTGATGAATTTTCTTTTTATTTTGAGTATTTTCCTGCTTCTTTACATGCCTGGTAACTTTTGATTGGATATTAGACATGTGTTGTTATCTCTGTATTTCCTTTTCTCCTTTTAAAGAGTGTTGAGTTTTGTTCTTGAAGGCATTTTTCCTCCCTTCAGATTAGTGTGACTTTAAGAAGTTCAGTATGTATGTGGGTGGAGAGGGTTAAAATGTACCTTTAGGTGGTGTGTGGTGGGGCATACCTTTAATACTTTGAAGCAGAGGCAGGTGGATTTTTGTGAGTTCAAGGTCAGCCTGATTTCCTGATGTACATAGTGAATTCCAGAACAGTCAGAACTACATAATGAGACCCAGTCTCAAACAACAACAAAAAGATGTGCCTTTTATTCTAGGGCTAGTTTATCTCAACACTTGCTCTTTTGTGTCTATCTTCTCAATGCTGGAGTGTTCAGTTCTTCAGAAAAGTCTTCCCTGTGTCTGTACCTGTGTGTCTATATCTATAACTCTAACACTTAGAGTAGGAAGATCACTTAAGTTTGAGGCCAGCCTAGTTTATAGAAAGAGTATCCAGCCTGGGCTACAGAGTGAGAACTGTCTCAAATATGAAACAAAAAATACCTTACATTGTTATTGTGTGCCTGTCTGTTTGTAAAGTGATCTTGAAGATTGCTGATGTTGATATTGCGAGAGTCAGTTTTGTTTTTAGTCATTTAAGCAAGGTTACAATATCTAGTTACTCAAATACCTGTGCCAGCATTGCTGAGGGCATATGTAGGTGTAGTTGAGGTCTGGAGTAGTTGACTTTAAGCAGGGGGTGCCCTATGTGAGTGGACCTGATCAATCAGCTGAACTTCCCTGAAGTAGAGGAAATTCCTTCTGGGATAGCATCTGCACTTGGTTTCTGGAGAGTTTACAGTGGCCTGTGTGGATTTTGGACTGACTGGCTTAGACACTCCCCCCCCCCATAGTCATGTAAATATATTTAAAAGCATTTTGTTTCTTCTTACATCCGTACGTCCGTCTGTCCGTCCATCCATCCATCTGAGACAGGGTTCCTCTACATAGCCCTAGCTGTCCTGGACCTCTATGTAGACCAGGCTGTCCTCTGCCTCCCCAGTGCTAGGACTATAGGTGTACGCAACCATGCCTGGATCTATGTTTGTTTATATTTTAGTGTGCATATGGGTGGAGTTGTGCCAGGGTACATGTGTGGAGGCTAAAGGACAAGTTATATAGGGCTTGCTTCTGATTTTTTACCATCTGGGCTCCAGGGATTGAACTCAGGTAACCTACTCACCAAGCCATCTCACCAGCCTTCTTAGAAATCTTTTCAGTATTTGCTGCCAGTTCTGTTTCTCTGGCTTTTAACTCATGACAGATACAGATGCTTCATGGTTTAATTATTGCCAAGTGAGAATAAGAATATACACTTTATTGTTGAATGCCACATTTGAAAAGCCCAGAAAAGAAATGCATTATTAATAGTGGCTCCCATAGTGGTGGAGTAAGGAGTACTTTAGTGTGTATCTCTGTGCATCTCTGAGTGCGCTTGGAGGGTAAAGACAACAAGACAACCTTGGTGCTGCTCCTCAGGCACCTTCCTTTTTTCTTTTTCTTTTCTTCCTTCCTTTTTTATTTTTTAAATTTTAGATAGGGTCTCATTACCCTGGACTTTGCCAAGTAGAC